ACTTGGATTCCAGCCTCCATTGTTGAGAGGATACTACTGCAGGGAGTTTGGTAAATTATTAAGGGGATTTTACTGCAGTTTATTGGTAGAAGTCAGGAAGAAAACAATTACCTTTCCCCTCCCTTTTTGGTCCCATCTTTCTGTTTCATTCACTCAGGCCAGGAATGACAGGTGATTTTTGTTCCATGTCCTGTATCTGAATGGCAATTGACTCTCTGGGTCATTATAGTTAGAAAAGATTTTGAGGTCACACTTGGGAACAAGAGAATCCGAAGTGATTAGTGATGTCTGCCATGAGCATGGGTGTGGAGGAGGAGGGAATACACCATTTCCTGATTCAGATCTTGTTTTTTCGATAGAAAACTCCCACGCAGATTCCAATGCTAGCCTGGCAGTTGTGCAATACTTACAGTGTGCCAGGCTTTACATATCTAATGTCATTCTCAAAGCCATCCATGAGGTAGTTCAAATGAGGAAACACATAATGTAGAGAGTTTTACAAATGAGGAGAAGTCTCACAGAGGTTAAGTGGTATGTCAAGGTCATATAGCCAGGATATGGGAGAGATCCAAGATCACAGAACCTCCTTCCATAGCTCTGCCTGTCCCATCTCTCTCTTGCTAATGTTGCATGAACTGCCACAGGGCTGACGTAAGACTCAATGATCTTATTCCAGAAGAAAATGCTAAATCAATTTATAGAAACAATTATCTTTGGGCCTCAGGCTCTGGAATAAAAGATGAGATAGGGCACCTCACTGGAGAGGACAGGGTGGATTTCCTCCTTCCTGTCCAGTGTGGAGCATTTTCATGATATGGACTTCAGCACTGCAGTCTTCTCAGAGGCAAGGAGATAAGCAGCTGGGAAGGAGGCTCAACATATAAGGGTGAGACATTGACTCCCTGCTCGCTAGGCTACCCTATCGGTAGCTGTTTCTGAGTGGTTGCTTTAAGTGTTCACCTTTATATGTGAGAAACATACTACAGGACTGTGCAAATGGCTTAGTTACTGAAGGACTTGCCTTGCATGCATAAGGAAGTGAACACACTTAGAAAAGTCAGGTGTGGTAGTGTTGTACCTGCCTCTCTAGTGCTGGGGAGGCAGTTATAGGTGGATCTCAGGGGAATCACTGGCCAGCCAGCCTAATCTAATTGGCATCTTCTCAAAAATAAGACAGGTGGCACTTGAGGAATGATAGCTGAGGTTGTCCTTTGGTCTCCACATATACTCAACACACATACATGTACACTCACCCCACACATATACATGCACACAGATAGATATAATCCATCTGGTCATATATTTGAATCACAACAGACCACAGCTGATGGTGACCTAAGGTTTCAATGTAAAGTTAGTGATGTCTTGACCAAGTTTAGTTTGAGTAAACTTACAGAATGGTATTTAATAATCCATTTCTTAGACTCTCTCCCATGAAGTAATATAGCAGTGTGTGTGTGTGTGTGTGTGTGTGTGTGTGTGTGTGTGTGTATCTATTTACTGGATCAAATTAGATACATCTTTCATATTGTCTTCAAGAGAATTTTAAATGCCATTTACTTCATTTATTAGCTTAACAAATACTGAAAACCTCTGTGTCACTACATGCTGGGATCATCAGATGATGAGATGTAGGTTATGGCCACTGTCCTCCTGAGCTTACCATTCACTGGGAGATTTTTGGTCTTTGGCCATGTAGTAACATGAATGTTGGGTGCATCCCTAGTGATGAAGGTATATGTACATCCTTAGTGATCAAGGTGGTGGAGGGAGGAGAGACTTGGTAGTCAGTTCTTACAGGTCCTTGAAGTCTAGCAGAAGCATTGACACTCACCCCAGAGTAATGGGAAGTCAGCAGAGATGGGGTACATGTGGTTAATCTTGACTGTCAACTTGATTTGTCATGATGAGGGTACTCTGTTCCATTTTGCCTTCCTACCCTGACAGACCAAGACTCTGAGACTGAGCCAAATGACCCATTCCTCCCTGAAGCTGATTGCTCAGATTTTTTTTATTGGCAACAACAATTTTGATGGACATGGGAGGGTACTTTGGAGTTTATGTCATATAATGTAGTTTTTTTCCATGTTAAAAGATAGTTGTGGTTACACTGGAAAGAGTGAATGGGCAAGGGATGCAGAAAGGCCGTCACTGGAGTCCAAACAGAGAGGACAAAGGGCACTGAGACAAGGCCAATTTGCATGGTAAAGGGAAGGTGAAGTTAGATAGACTCAGGGACACAGTATGTATGTGTAATACAGAAGCAAGAAGCAAGTCCAAGAGAAGGGGGCGGGCGTGGGAGGGGGGTAGGGGATGGCGAGGACAACGTGGTGGTCTGGAACCATCTCCTATGCTACCACAATGCCTCAGAAGACACACCTTCTCTTATAAGTGTGAGTTTCACCTGGACTATAGATCAGCCTTGGCCTGCCCAAAAAACCAATTGCTAAGGGAAAAAGTATACAGAGAAATGTATGGTTTGGTGGGGTTTTAAAATTTGGAGTGTTTTCACCCTATACAGTAAGAATAAGAATCTGACAATGACAAAGGCAGTGCTGAGTAAAATGAAATACCCTGCACATTCACTGTGCTTTCTCTTCCCTCTCAGTATCCTCATTTCAGTTTGTTGTCCTTGTAGTCCACATGAATGGTGTAATAAAATTGTTTCCTCCCGACAGTGCTGCAGATATTATATTTCTTCATTGCTCTAAGTGGTGCTTCACATACATTGCTGTCACTTGTGTGGAGCCCAGGCAGAGAGGGCATCAGCAAGCCAAGTAAAGACTTCATCCAAGTCTAGCTTGGTGACCCAGTGAGTCTACTGGATCTACTCACAGGAACATAGGCTGGCTAGACCACTGAGAGTCCCCCCAACAGCATGGAAGACTCATGAAAAGCTGCCCCACTGAGAGTCGCTTTGTCAGCTTTTAGACAGTGGCACTACTGTAATCCTTCACTAAGTCAGCTTCTCTCTTACATAACCATGGGGAGAGGTGCCTCTTGAAGATCTCCTGAAGGCTCCTAAGCCATGAAGGAAGGCTAAAAAGCCTGGTGCCTTGAGGATAATGTGCTAGTGATCATAGCTGCTCTGACTCGACATGGCGATGGTCATGTCCAATCCAGAGCGAACAGCTGCATTTGATAAAGTTGTGAATGTAATTTCTAAACAGTTTGTGAGGTTTCCTTATGACAAGTGGAACTTTATGTTTTGTTATGTATATCCTCTTTTTCCCCCACCTACATTTTTTCTCAGGTTAAACTCTTACAGGTGAGGTTAGTGGGTTAAAGGAAGGAGTTTCTGATTTCTTGGTATGGGTAAATGTGATATTCCAAACTCACTGGTCAGGGTTAAGAGATGGTCCTGAGCTACTCATAAGGCATATCCTTGGTCTCCATATGTTTACAGGGATGCAGGGAGTTTAACGATATGAGTGAACCAGTCAGGTTATCTGGAACCTTCTATCATGTCTCGTTGATTATGTCCAATAGTGACTGAGGGCCACCGGAAGCTGCTGAGCCTACCAGCTGTCTGTCTCTACTCTGGTCTGTTCCCTTCCCTTTTCTCTGATTTTGTTACTTGCAAACCAATAGAAAACCCTGAGATAAACTTACGGAATCTGATGAACTAAAAGGGGCCTCACAGACTTACAGGGTCTACATCACCTAGGCAATGCTGCAAAGGATGCTGGGAAGCCCATGGTTTAGATAAGAGCTTAAGGTCTCCTGTGGCATGGTCTCCATCTCAATCTAGTATCATACCTCATCACACCTGGACCAAATAGTTCTGTGCCCACCAAGATCCTTTGGCGCTCACTCAGGTTGTATCCTTGTTGCCCTTTGCCAGAGCTTAGTAGACCTAGTGTGACCCTAAAGTCACGAGGAGGCTGAGTGTCATGATGTAGCTGTTCCTCCTATGTGTTTTCTATGTAAATACTCATATTTGAACATCACCAAGGTTGTTACCAAATGTGATCAGATGGAGCATTCTCAAGTTCTCTGCTTGGGGGTTTTGATAACAAGTGTATGTTGGAAACTCTAACCTGGAGGCTCATTATGTCTCTACTTTGCTCTGCTGATGGGACTTCAGGGCTGAGGGGTTGCTGATAAGCACTGGATATCCATGAGTCCCCAAAACAGTAGTCCCTGGAACAGTGCTTGAGTCATAGTGGGATGCCATGGCCTCCAGTTGTACCTCTTGCTTAAACACCAACTTTATCAATATGCTGATTGTTGGACATCATCAGGGGGAGGCACCCCTCCTCAACCTGAATTTCAAGGATTCCCTAGTTCTCTGGGGTGGTCAGCTTCAGTAGAGATCCTCTGACCAGGGGTTCAGCATTTTTCAGTTGTCCAGGCCTGTAAGAACTTGGACCCTGACACATTCATTTACAAAACAACACGCCAGAGTTTGCTATCTAAGCTGCCCTATCATTGAGATTGAAACCCAAGTAAAGGACTAGGGAGATGGCCCAGTCCTTAGAGTGCTTCCCCTGCAAGCCTGAGGATCTGAGTGTGATTCCTAGAATCCATGTAAGAAGCCGGATTTGGTGGCGTGTGCTTTTAATCCCTGTGCTGGGGAGGCAGAGACAGGTGTGATCTTTTGGACTCCTTGACCAGCCAGCCTTGCCAAACTGGTGAGGTCTAGGCCAGTGAGAGACCCCACCTCAAAACAAAACAAAACAAAGCAGAAACAAAATACAAAACAAAGTAGATCACACCTGAGGAGTGATATCCATGGCTAACTTCTGGCCACCGCATATACATGACACATATGCATGCCTACTTCTTCAACCCCCCATGCACCCTTGCATGCATGCATACAAGTGCATGTACACACAGTTTTAAAGAAACCAGGTGACTGAAGTTCTCTTAAGAGGGTAAGCTTTGGTGTGTTCCTAACTCCTGAAGAGAAACAGGCTCACTGACACATTTAATGACATGTGTTAGTATGCATGTCAAACTTTACACTTAAACTCACATTTCTTTCTTTCTTTTTCCAGCCAAACACCATGTCAGTGGCAACAGAACGGTTGAACCTTTCCCAGAGGGAACACAGATGGCTGTATTTGGTAAGATATCAACTCTGAAAGAAAACCCAAATACTGTGCAAAGCTTCCTGCCAACTTTCTTAGCTGTAGTAAGTGTCCTCAGGGCTTCAAAATCTGGGCTCCTCTAGATATTTACAAGTCGTTACAGCCAAGAAAACTCTTGAATTCTTAGTAATTTCTGGGCCCAGGAATACTTACTTTGTAGAATCAGTATGTTTTCTTGTCTAACTTTGACAGCCCAGATATCATATTGTAAGTTTGCAATTTCTTCTGTCCACAGTGTGAATTAACCTAATTAATTTAGGGTTTGAGCTTTTCTTTCATTTTTACATAGATGTACAACTTTTATCAAGTTGTTCGGAGTCATTATTACCACCCCATCCTAATTGGATGGTCTCTTCTCCATGAATTGAATACATTCATTGGTAGAAAACATTAATTAAAAATATTTCAAGCAGAGCTGAGTCCAATTCTTGGTTACATACCTAAAAATTACAGTTGTGATTTTTAAAATTGTTTGTTTATCAATTCATTGATTTTTGACGAATTCTGAACCATTTAGCAAAGTCTTCTTTGTCCACCTTTCCGCCTCCATAGTGTCTATCTCTCACATTGTCTTCAAATATCCCTGCTTTTGGCAGCTCTTTGCCTTCCCTGCCTCCTCTCCTCCTTCCCTTCTTCACACGAGCTCCCTTCTGCCCTTCCTTGCTCCTGCCTCTGGGCTTTTCTTTCCAGCAATGCCCCGAGGTCCTCTCAGGGAAGGCTGCTCTGATCTATTGGGATAGTAGCCTGTCCTCCTCCACCTCTGCTCTCTAGCCACCATGAGATTAGCAGCTCTGCTGTGCCATAGTCTCCACACTACAATGCTGTGCCTCGCCAGCATGGGCCAAGCCATCATGGACTCAAGCCATGAGCAATAATGTATTTTCTCAGGCATTTTTTTTGACACAGTGATGACTAATAAATACCTTGTGAGAGAGAGAGAAATGACATGGGCCTGTCCTAGCAGGCCTCTGTCTCCTACAGTGCAGTGGGAACTTACACACATTGACCCCAGAGTTGGAAACATTGGGCATATAACTCCATGTCAAGATTCCTTTTCTTTTCCATTCCATATTTGTTTCCAGAGGTTTACTAAAACCTCACCAAGACACTTCTTAGCTTTCTGTTGAGTGAATTCTGAGACCTCTCTAGGTCTAGGCCCTTTGTTCTGCCTCCTCTCTACTCAAGACCTCAGGCTCAAGTGTCATAGTGAGCCTGGAAAATGTGCTGTAATTGGCTGAATGGCCAATAGGTCTGATGTGACAGAAAGATGGTTCCAGAGCCAGGTGTGGTAGCAATGCCTACGATCCCAGCTTTGGAAGGCAAAGGTAGAAGGATCACCATACATTTGAGGCCTTCCTTAAAAAAAAACAAACAAACAAAAGGAGATGAACTGCTTGCAGAATTCTTCAAGTTCACAATATCTAAAGGACAAAATTCTACAGAACTGAAAATAGCGTAAGCCTGACATCTAAAAATTCTGTCTTTGTTAGTGCAGCTTGGCGCTCTGCTGCTGAAATGAAGTTCCTGATTTGGTTAAGTATATGCAGTCATTGCACAGCGAGGTTTCCAGAGCTCTGCTCCATTTCTGTCACTTGTCCACCTGGCCTATGGTAGATGAGAGAACGGTTGGCGTGGGGAGAACTCCTGTCATCCTGGGTTGCTTATAGCTGTACTGAAAAGGTCAGATCGAGACAGCACTTGACTCTGAGACATCCAGGGTGCTTATCTTGCCAGCACTTCAAAAGGCAGTTGACTCAGAGAGGTCATGTAACTTACCCAGGGCAGCTGGGCCTTTGGAACTCCGGTTTGAGCTGGACTCTACTTGGCTTGGAGCTAGCATCCTCTTCCTAAAGTCCCCTTTCTCTGTAAGGCTTGAGGGAGCCTTGCTAGGGCCCGATAGATTAAAAAACTACCTTTCAGCCGGATCCACACACAAAAGCATGATTTCCAGCCAAGCCAATTTAGTAAATTGATTCGTAAACTCCTATGCATTCCCAGAGTGCTCTGAAGGACTCTTGAGATGCAGCTTTTGCTGGGAAAATGCTGTTTGGAGTGAAAATCTCCTCTGGCTCCCTCCCCCTTTTGATTTTAGTAGCAAATAACAGGGCCAGCACTGGCTGCATCTGCCTGCCTGTCAGTTACCCAGAGCAACAGGGGCACTTCTTACCTGTCCAAACTCCTCCTTCAGCCTTCAAGGTCTCAATACATTATGCCAAAATAGTGTCACCAACTGTAACTTCATCTAGTGGCAGAAGATTTGAGCACGCCAAGTAAAATGATGTCTATACGGCAGCTTTATGGTTTAATCCACTCTGCTGGTGACTGCTGAGCTACAGTTAGGCTTTTAGATCAGCTTGGAGAGATCAAGACACATTCTTGTGTGAAAAATACAGAAGTGTGTTGTGCCTAGTGATCAGAGATGGCTCCTTAAACATAGCTCCTGTCGTTCAGTCTTTGCCAATTATCTTTAACTCAAGACATTTTTATTCTGTCTTCTGTGGTCCATCTGTGAATTTTTCCTCCAAGTCTTCTCCCTCTCCCTTCATCGGCTAGGCCAACGTTAATGAGGGAGGCCGCAGGCCCTGGTCCCTGGTGCTCCTCAGGTGTGCCCGTGATGTTCACTTCCACGTTAGAGGGAGCTCACTCTCTGCGAAAGTGAAACTGAACATTTTTCATTATGCAGTGCCTCTGTCTGTGATGTCTGGGTGCCCTGTGGCTGTCCCCCTCTAAACTGTACAGCGGTCCTGTGAAGCAGGCAGAGACACTGAAGCATCTCATCTGGAGATTAATGATCCGGCCAAGCTGAGAGCCTATTTTTTCCCATATGAGAATATCTTTGGCTAGCCCTCCATGCCTGTCACAGGAAGGTTTTCTCTGCTCCCAATACCTTAATGAAAATGACAGCTATTGGCTGTGGGCCACTCTGTCCAGCAGAGCATCAGGCTGTAGCCTTCTGGGGTCGGGGAAGTGTTGTCAGCCCAGAACATCTATGGAAAACCCTCCACACACAAGAGGATCCATTAGAGCAAATGATAAAAGCTTATTAATGGAGAAACATGGGCAGTAAAGGAAAGGGCATGGGATTCTAGTCACAAGCTAGAACTGAAAGATGAGTTATTGGAAACTTTAGGGGCTAGAGAGGTTGCTCAGAGGGTAAGAGCACAGTGCTCTTGCAGAGGACCCGAGTTTGGTTCCCAGCACCCATGTCAGGTAGTTCACAACTGTCTGTAATTGCAGCTCCTGGGGAATCTGATGCCCTCTTCTGGCCTCCACATGTGCATACCTGTACTCACACACACACATACTTACACATAGGCACACATCCATACACATAATTAAAAAAACTTTAAAGTACAGTCTTTGAACATCTATTTGCCACCCACACTCTGATACTCCCAAATAGGAAAGCTTGCCTTTGAAAAGAATATCTAAACTGCACACAAGGTACACACCTGTAATGCCAGTCTGAAGGGGCTTGAAACAGGAGGATTACAAGTTCCATGTCAATTTGGGCTGTACTGTAAGAAAAGGAGAACCCTGTCTTAAATAAACATTTAAAGAAAAGAACTAGAAATTATATTAAAATAAGATCTAAGCTTAGAGGGGTTCAGGTTACTGGGATATAACGTTTAAATACACATGAAATGAGCTTGACATTGCAAATGATAAACTAAGGTATGTAGACTGAGTTTTAAGAAAGTTGCAAGCCAGTGGATGTTATCAGCTCCAACTTGGAAGACTTTCCTCAGTATGGATCTGCCCTCTTTCTGAATGCCTTCAAATTACAAGTCAGTTCCTATTTCTAAAACCTATTGCAAGGCCCTTCAGGGGGAGTTGGAGAACTGACTACAACTTGTACTTTTCGTATTGTACTAATACTGCCCAGTGATGTGAGCTGATGAACTCTCCATTGCTGCAAAGATTCAAGCCACACATTTCTAATCCACACAGGCAGGGGTTAAATAGACTTCCATCCAATTAATGAGAGTTTACTGTGGCTCAAAATAGCAAACCTATTTACTTTTTAAAAATTTTGTGTGTGGTGCATGTGTATGTATGTGGGGTACATACGGAGGTCAGGAGTTTGTGTTAGGTGTCTTCCTCTATGGTGCTCAACTTGAACTTTGAAGACATGGTCTCTCACTGAAGTTGAAGCCCACGAATTAGCTAGGCTGCCTGGCCAGTGAGCTCTGGGGATCCTCTTATCTCTACTCTCCCTAGTCCTGGGTTTACAGGCATGTTCTGCCATGCCCACATGTTTGTTTTAGCTCTGAACTCAGGGGTTTTGTTGTTGTTTTGGTTATTTGTTTGTTTGTTTGATTTGTGACAGGGTTTTTCTGTATAACCCTGGCTATTCTGGAACTCACCCTGTAGACCAGGCTGGCCTTGAACTCTGAGATCCACCTGTCTCTGCCTCCAAAGTATTGGGATTAAAGGCATGTCACCACTACACCCAGCCCTAAACCTACCCATAAGAAATTATTTCACATTCAAAACTCTTTTATCTTCTTATTTCAAAGACTACATCTAGGCTGTTTAAAGGTAGGATCCTACAAGGAGAACTTCAATGTGGCAGAATTGTTAGGAAGTGACAGCAGCTGCTGTCCCTTATCGTTCCTTAGGTTCTTGATAGTCTGACAGTAGCTTTTTGGGACAACCAGCCTCCGAGAGGCCTGTGATCTATGTCAGGTTGTCTTGGTGGCCCTTCAACAAGGAGAGCACATGCAGTCTGAGACACTGGGGGAGATGCTGATACCCTCACCACCTGCTACTGTTGACACTCGGGCCAGTCCTTTGTGGGCCTTTCCTGGAGTAATGTACTGAAAAACTGATCTAAGGGGTGTGGGGACCCAGCACATGTCAGAGGCTCAGGGATGTGTCCCACTCCTGAGGACACCTGTGTCACCTTTTGAGAATGAGATCAGTGTGTCTATGAGGAACCCATCATAAGAACAACACCTCCCCCTGAACCTTGA